GTCTGTAATAAATGCCTTAATATTGAGTTTGATATTTTGGAGACGACAAATTGTTGACAAAATTATGTCTTTCAGATCAATACCATTACAGCTACTTGAAACAAGAAAATAGGCAATTGGTTGTTTCCAGTTATAATTTATACTTCTCAGCATAAGGACCAAAGCATACTTAGCAGGTTCATATTTTCTACGGTTAGAAGATTCATGAAAGCCAATTATTTTRTCTCTATTAACTCTATAATACAGATTAGTTTTTAATGCCATTTCGTCARCACACAAGACACAATCAAGCCAATCACTTTTAAAGTTATGAATTTTAAATGAAAGAACAAAGAAAATTAAAAATTAAATCATTAAGACCAGGATTGATTTCATACTTACTGGTGATTCTCAAAAACAAACGAACCAACGAAAAATCTGTAGCTCAGACTAGCCGTATGCTACATAAAACTAGAGTTCACAATAGTTTTGTTGTGTGGCTACACTGGTGGCACTTGAGCTCATTTCGTCGATTTTGGAGAGTGTCCATTCTGATTTCTGATTTCACCAATTCTGTGTATCCACCAAAGTGGCATTAGTACCTTAGCATTTAGATCATATAATATGGATGGAGCCATGGCCTATCTCGCCTGTGTGGCAGTGTGGACAATTTGAAGCACATATTACTGTTATAATAATTATGATATTAGCAACGATTGACGAGTCTCTCCTTGAGATTYGCTATCTGCGCATGCGCGAGTCTACTCGTCGCATATTTATTTAGTTATCAGTTTATCACTCATGACTCATGAGTTCCCTGGAGAATTAAAAACAGAATAAATATGCTACGAGTATACTCGCGCATTTGCAGTCTCGCAGATAATGAATCTCAAGGAGAGACTTGTCGCTTATATTATGTGCTTCAAATATCAGGCCATGGCTCCATCCATAGTATATGATCTAAGAAAAGAATGGATAGGCCATTCCTATATTAACAACATAGTGGTTTGCGGGCCGGAATGTGGATGAGACTGATGAGAGTCAGATTGCTATTTATATAGTGCTCTCACTTTAGTAAGAGGTATTATAATTTATTTTATGGTAATTTTTATATTTTTATACTGATAAAACCCCTTGTAACACATAGATTATAATTGTACTATGTTGTAATCTCATTGTTCATGCCCGTGCGATAAGGCCTGACSCCTGATGGCCTATCCATTCTTTCATTATCTATGGGATTTACCAATTGCTATATCTCTGCGAATTCTGGTTTACTGTTTATAATACATAACTGTTTTGGTAATAAGAAGCATGGGAATAAGAACTACCTACAATTATTTCATATTTTAATTTATTTTAATGTTTTGATAAAAAAGTTAAAAAATATATTTTGGTGTACATGTCGTATGCTATCTACACAAAATTTATACTTGTGTCACACGCTATCTACGCAAAAACATGTATTCTCACCTAACCTTAGGTAATAATTTTATTAGAGCTTGTAGTTTTACAGTTGTCATTGAAATTATAATCGACTTTTATATTCGATCTTTTATGCCTCTCTTTAGATTCGTCTATTTATACTATTAATCCTTTTCCACTGTTCTGCTACCACGTATCGATATAGAATGAACCAATCTGAGACTATATGATGACCTCTGTGGCTCTGTTAGTTAATTTCTCAGTTTGTGTGACTTTAAATTTATTTACCCAGCACCACACAAGTTAAAATAATTTCACATAAACTTAAACCACTTTTATTTTTTCCATTTTTATCTACGTAGGTAAAAAATGGATTTTGGGAACGTATTGATCGCCATTTTTGACATTTTGACAACCTCTTGTTTGGCATTGCATGTATTTGGTTTTAAATAATTAACCGGTTGCATCTCGTTTTCAACTTTTTTTTTCATGTTTCTTTCATGTCACCAACACTCCCCCCGTAACATTTAATTTAGTACATACATTTGAATTCAGCGATAACCCACGTTCTTTTAAAAATTTGACACGAGGTTCATCGTTAAAAATAATATTTCTGTATAAATCACCTAAATTACTCATTTTCATAAAACTTAAATAAACACAAAAATACAAATACAAA